TACTTTATACCTGAGTACTTTATACCTGAGTACTTTATACCTGAGTACACTCTTGGGATCATCCTTTAATGTTGTGAACAGCTCCTGTAGACGTGAGTGTATGTGAACCATGAGCTTCTGTTTCGTCCAGCCTCCCTGGTTGCGTCTCCTCAGAGCGCTCCAAGAAAGAGTCTGCTGTCCAAACGCCACCTGTCCCCCATCCACTCCTCCATCAGCTCGAAAAGGTACACAAATCTAACGCACCTGTTTGTAGTTTCACTTCTCCATCTTCTGCTGAGTGATCCTGACCTCACCGTTCTCAGGGCTGATGGCCGATCAGAAAGAGGGCTCACACAAGGTTCAGGTGAAAGTTGAAGCTACAGTCTGACGGAGGTGCTGCTCCCTCAAACATGCATCATCACATATTAACCCCACCCTCTCATACCTTTTGTTTTGTTCCTGTTTGTGAGAATGAAAGACCTGAAGTTGCAGATGTCTGCAGACGGTTTGAGGAACAGAAAGAAAGCAGGATGTGTTCTGCTGGGACAGAGTTTCATGAAACGTCTTCTCTCTTTGGCTCAGGCCATCGTTACCTGTCACAGCTGGGTCACCTGAGGAGCTCCTGCAGGCGTTAGCCTCTCAGCTCCGTCCACTCACTGTCCAGGTGGAAGTGAGTGGGTCTCAGGCTCTGTTTGCTGCTCTGGATCTGGTCCGGAGGCCCAACTTCGACCCCACGTGCACTCTGTCTGTCCGGTCAGTGGATGAACGCCCCTCAGTCCACATCCACACCTCAGCTCCAAACGGTCTCGTCTAGGTTTCTCTCTGTTTGTTGGCACTTGGACTTCTGCTGTCCTCAAATCTGTGTCGTCTTTGTCCAGGTTCAACGATGAGAAGCAAAGTGCATTTCCCAGCAGCCTCGGGGACAGCCAAACGGCCAGGCAGTACTTCCTGAAGCTGCTGGTGCAGCAGATCCAGGACTCTGCGGTGTTCGAGGGTCCGGATGGATCCAAAAATCTGGCTCTGGATTATAAGGGTACAGTTTTTTTTAATGCATTATTTATTCTTTGTTTATGCCACAGTCAATTCATCATTTCTGATTATTGTTAAATCACTAAATATCAAATAAACACTTCTGGGGCTTCATTTCTAAGGGTTAGGGTGAGACCCCAGTTTGTGCGTACGCCACTTCTCACGTCTGTCTCTCTCTCTCTCTCTCTGTGTGTGTGTGTGTGTGTGTGTGTGTGTGTGTGTGTGTGTGTGTGTGTGTGTGTGTGTGTCTGTCTGTCTGTSTGTSTGTCTGTCTGTCTGTCTGTCTCTCTCTCTCTCTGTGTGTGTGTGTGTGTGTGTGTGTGTGTGTGTGTGTGTGTGTGTGTGTGTTTTCAGCTCTGCGTGAGGATCTCTACTTTGACGTCGGCTGCCTGCTGGCTCTCTCTCTGCTTCACGGCGGTCCACCTGTTAGCTTCTTCTCCTGCGGGCTCTACCAGTGTCTGTTCAACTACCCACCAAACCGCCCCCTCACTGTCGCACACATGACCCCCGACGCACACTTCACACGCCAAGCCATCAGGGTGAGCGGCACCGAGAAACCACGCGTCTCGAGCTTTGTTATCGCAGCACAGACGTTCCAGGTTTGCTTTTCGTAATTTGAAGTGGAGCGATTTGATTGGCTGCTTTCAGATCAAAGAGGCGGAGTCTTTAGACAGTCTGAAGGAAGCCATGACTTCGAGTTGGGAGTACCTGGAGATGGCTGGTTGCAACCGGCCAATCAGGAGCCTGGAGGAGAGAGAGCTGCTGGTGGAGGATTTGGTCAGCTTCAGTTTGATCACCAGGATGCAGCTTCCACTGCAGAGGTAGAGACGAGTGTGGAGGAAGTCATTCACTGTATAGTTCATCATAACTGTGCGATAGTGTCGCAGCGGCTAAAGCGTAGCTCGTTCTTCTAAAGAAAGTCTGTGTATCTGGAGAATTGTGTCCTGAAGTTTGTGTTTCACACATGAACAACGCAGAAACGAATCCTCCGCAGGAATCAGGCTGGAGCAGGAAGAGGAGGACGTAAAAAATACTCTTGACGTCTTCATCAGTGTCTCCTACGTGTGTAACGCCGCTTTTTCATTTGGAGATATTTGTTTTGTTAGAAACCTCATCAACACACGCTCATGGTGAATCATTGCTCCGTCTGTCAGCTTTGATCCAGAGTTCATCAGAATAAGAGGTTATCAGAAGGTCGTCCTGAATTCACATTGAGCAGATGATGTCAGTAATCTGTGCTGTGATGTCATTACGTAGAAATTACTTGTTATTATTAATGAATTATTATTGATTTGTTTACATTTTACATGAAACAATTTCAGCTTATTTTCTTGATTCAGATTCACTTTGTTTTGGGATTTTTAGTTGTCAGGTTATTCAGGATAGAATCAGGATAGAATCAGGATAAAAGTCTGTATTTGTTTTGCTCCAGGTTCCGGGAAGGTTTGCAGACGTTGGGCGTCTTTGATCAGGTGACGTCAGTGGATTTCTCTTCGTGTTTTAACGCCCACAGTTCATCAGACGCCAGAACGTCAGTGACCGTTGTGTAATCCAATCTGATCCAGGTGCAGCTTTTCCCGTCCGTGTTCTACAGCATTTTCTGCGAAGCAGCGGGTCGTCTCACGGCTCAGACGGTCGGTCAACTCTTCACCGTCCACTTCTCAGAGCAGGAGGAGAAGCTGGAGAGGGAGACGCCCATCGTCACCTTCTGGAGACACTTTCTGCTGGAGTGTGAAGGTACAGACAGTTTTTATACACAACAAATACACATTCATTTTCACTGACTGAGTTCAAAGTTATTTTTAACTCCTACTCTCCTCTTCCTCTCCTCTTCTTCCCCTCCTCTGCTCATCACCTCCTCAGTTGGAAGGTCCTCCATTTCCTTGCAGGACCTCCTTCTCTTTGCCACAGGAGCTGAGGAGCTTCCAGTTACCGGCCATCTCCCTCCTCCCTCCATCTCCTTCCTTGACCCCTTCAGCTCCTCCTCACCAGGAGTGGAGGAGACGGGCAGATCAGGGGAGGAGGAGTTGAGCGATGGAGGGCTCTTCCCTCAAAGCGAACCCAGCTCCAATCACCTCCTCCTGCCCGTCACCTCCTCCTACCAGTCCTTCAAAAGCTGCATGGAGCAGGCCATCAGCCACCACGTGCACCTCCTCCCTTCGGAGCGTTAGAGACATCTTGTTGCAAAATAATGAGCAGGACAGATTTACAGCGACATCAGATTTTTACACGGGAAATCTCCGGGAACCTGGAAGCTTAAACTGTTGATGTCATTGTTTTCTGTCTTGATAAAAGATCCGTTTATCAACTGATTCACTCGTCGCTCCAGTCACATTAAGTCAGTCGTGTATAATTGTGGCATGATTTATCTATACTGAGTTTTTATATATATTGTGTATCCCTTGTTTCTCAATGGTGACGCTGATAATGAAATGTGCTTGGGTCTGTTTGGACGCTTCTGAGACTTTAAACTCCAGGTGGCATTAAAAAACTATAGTTTTCTTTACTATAAAATATCAAACACCTGGTAAAATTATCCTATTTTATATTTTGCTAAATATCTTTCATGTTTTCTTTTCTAAAAACCGTGGAGCTGATTTTATAACTTTGCTTCAAGCGTGGTCGTGTTTTTATTGTACATACTTTTCTTCAGCTTTTATGTGTTTTTCTTTGCATGTTGCTCTTGTTCGACATTTTCTATCTTTTCTTACTCTGGAAGATAAATAAAAGTGATAATCTCCAGTTGAATAGCATCGAACAGATTTCAGAGTGACTGTTTCACTGCGACAGATGTTTGTTCTCGTTGTTTTTATAAGATTCATTTTACCTGAGGTGGAATATCAGAAAGTATACTCTCATACTATTTTGAAGTACTATCTACAGTATTTGATTCATGTGATTGTTATCGTCACTCTTATTTGTTACTTCACCACATTAGAATATATATAATATATTTATATATATTTATATACAGTCTGATTAGAGCAGATTCACATCAACAATCTCAATCAATTCGCAGAATCAGACTAAATCTTGACATTTTCAGCAGCAGAGTGAGACCTCTCTCTGCTTGTTTCATCTTTGATGGACTGGTCTCAGAAAACAGCAGCAGAGTGAGACCTCGTGCCTTCTCCCCCTTCTCTGACCTCCACGTCATCACAACATCATCCAAGATGGCGGCCTCGGTGCGGGAGAAGCAGACAGGTCCGTTAAAAGCTTTTTCCTCCGGTTCCGGTGATTTAACGCGGTGACGGTAACTAGTCGCGGGGCCTTAACGAAGCTGCTGGTTGAATCTGGACGGTCCGGCCTTAACCAGCTAACTCAACCTGTTAACCAGCCTCTGAACGAGCAGCCGGTCATTGACTAGTGTTTGTGTGTCGCCACAGAATCAAACAGCTGATCGTCACCTCCTCCTTCAGACTAGTTAACTAAACACACTGCTAACTAGTCAACTGACGAGCTAACCAGCTGCTAACTGTCTAACGGAGGAATCAGCAGGGAGAAGCTAACCCGCTGCTAACAGCTAACAGCTTCACTTTAATGGTGTGAAAGAAAAGATGAGAACATGAGAACAGGAGAACATGAAAACATGAAAACATGAGAACA